AATATATATAATTCTAATAATCTAATTGTAAAAAAAAACCTAAATTTTAAAAACTATTAAAAACTGATTTTTTCCAGCACTATAATTTTTAAGATTTGAAAATTTATTTAAAGTCTAAAAACGTTAATAAAATTAAGTAAAACATCGTTTTTATATAAAAAATGGATAAATATTCTGTTGAAGTATTAATAAAAGAAACTCTGATACACTACTGTCGAAATTTTGTTGGGGAAGCAGTAGAGTTTCTGCTGGATGGAATCATCTGCATCACAATTAACTCTGAACCAATTGATACAGTTTTTAAAATCCATGAAACTATTAAAAGCAACAGTGGGGTGAAACCTGTTTTGACTTTTGACCAACTATCTGATGATTTGAATAATGATAACATTGATAAAGACAATGAAACTGAAGAGAAAGGTTTTGTTGATGACAATCTACCTCATCAAAAGCTTTGTGAAAAGAGGAAGTCAGACAACATCAGCAAAAATGACATTGAAGTTAAAGTTGAATCCAATGAAGTTAATATCTCAAATTCAACTACAGATCATGTGCATTCATATTCATGTGGTACATGTTCACTAGTATCAAATATTTCAAAGAGATCACTTATAAAGCATCTAATGAAAGAGCACAATGCAAAACATGATACCATCTGCTTCTGCATGACTAACTCTTGCAACTTGGGTTTTCACTCTGAGAATGAATACCTTGACCATTATCAAATATTTCATAGCAAGAGGCAAAAATTCTCAGATGATAATGACATTAATATTATTAATAGTGTTGCCATGTTTCCAATAAGTTCAAAAAGCAATACCACTAAATACCAACATCCAACAACAAAACACTCAGCAAATGGTTTATTAAATGATGGCACTCTATCTTCATCATCATCCCAAATGGAAAGTAGTTCAAAAATTGAACAAAAATTGTCAACAGAGTTCATAGTTGAAAGTGATGATGAGCAGGAAGAAACCTCACAATGCTCAGTTTGCTCCATCAGATTTTCAGATTTTTCTACTTTAGATTTTCATTCCTCTACATTTCATGGCGTTCATCATTGTTTATACTGCAGTGAAACTTTCAATCACAACACACTCAGGGATTCTCATACATTCTCTCATGTGAAGAGAAATGAACATCTACAGTGCACTGTCTGCTTCACTTGTTTTAACAATTTTGATTCATTTCAAAAGCACAGTTTGCATTGCCCTGGGATGCTGAAAAAGTTGTTTTCTACAAGTATGAATCACTCCAAATCTTTTGATGAAGATGATAATCAGAATCATAGTAATAATGATGATGATGCAATTGACAATGATGTTATTGATTCTAATGAGAATGCTACACTCATTGAACCATTTTTCAATTCATTGTTAACTGAAAATCATCTTCACAATAACATTCAACCTGCATCAACCATTCAAAACCTGAAAAACTCATTCAACCAAAGCTCTATGTTTATTAGTGCAAATAACATTTCAAAAAGTTCAGGCCAAGACAACTTTCAAAACATGGCTACCATTCAAATTGTTTCAGATTCTGAAGATTTCTTTGAAAACGATGACTCTAACCTTGACAATAATTACAACGTGCCGGTCAAACGACCAGGTCGTCGTCGTTACAAAAGGTATGTAAAAACTCTCGATCTCAACAGATGCTTCACATGTGAGATCTGTTTAGAGTACATTCCTGGTGGGGTTGAAGCTTTCAAAACTCATTGTGGTCAGATGCATCAGAGGGTTCCCTGTCCCTACTGTGGATGCACCTACACCCAGAAGGCAAGCATGGAACGACACCAGAGACAGCATACTGGTGAGAGGCCCTATGTTTGCCCCCTCTGTCCCAGGGCCTACACAAGGAAAGAAAATTTACACATGCACATGTCGAGGTCACATCCAATCATTGAACAGTCCGTTAATATGAATAGCAGTGAAAATATTAGCAGTAATATTAACAATAATAATTGTTTTAATAGAGTTGTTAACAATAGTCACGTGAATGTCATTGATGAAGTATTCTGATTTCTTAGTTATTGATTATTGTTTCTATGTAAATAATGTTTGTTATTGCTATTCTAGTTATTATTATTATTGTTGCCGTTATCTTTATAAATCTCTGTGTAATTTATTTACAATTTTGTTTTATGTTATAGAGCTGTTAATCTATCTGTATCTTTATTGTTTCTTATTCAACTTTATCATCTGGATAATTATTTTTGAAACATTCTGATGTCATGTTTCATAGAATTTATAATCTAGTAATTATTTTCGCAAAATTTTATATTAAACAATTTGAAATCAAATTTTTTTGTTTAAATTTTTACGCCAAATTTTTTAGATTATTTACTTTTTGGCAATGTTCGATTTTATCATTACGCTGTCAGAGTATACCTACCGTTCTATATTTCTCTTGTTAAAATGTGGACTTAAATGACATAGGGCAAATAAAATGTGTTTTCACTTGTTTATAATTAATTTTTTTATTAGTTCTGTAAAAATAATAAGATTGAAATTTACGTCTCGTTGACACTGTCATGCTTCCACATGGATATGTGCGATCATAATAGTTAGGGGATTGACGAGAGATGCAGTGGTAAATGGTCAAAAGTTCGACCGAATTAATCTATGATGCTCGAACTTGACGTAGAATTTACTTTTTTAAATATCGACCGCATCCAATATATGCCACTTGGTGATTTTCCGTATAAAATATAATGATCAACGAACGTCAATGCCTCTCCTGCTTCCGAATGAAACGTTAAGACTTAAGAGTAACAATACCTGATGCATCCCAAATTCAAAATTCTATGATTTGTCTTAATTTAAAATAAAACACATTTGGTTTGGTACGGCGCAAGATTGAATCGAATGACGGATTTCGTCGAGTCACAAATGCCAATGAATTACACGTAGGAATTTAAATTTGATATTGGTTTTTACATTTCATGTTCATTTAATACTTGTATTTTGCCTTACCGTCTTTGTCAACCATTTTGATCTCTTTATTTTTGTATGCTCTGCTTCTCTCCTTGCATGCCGCACCAACTCTGCGTTTTATAGTTGGACTTTTGCAAACGCATAATTTAGTCTGTAGGATTGATTAAGCAAGCCTAGCAAAATGCTGTCAGTCAGTTTGTTACTAAAGGACTAAGTTTTGAGGATTTAAAGTTAAATTCTGTTGATTTATTAATGATTGTTGATGAATTCGGCAAAATTAGTATTATATATACCTTTATTAAATATAAAATTAATATAATTGAACAGCAGAATAATACAACCCATACGAAGTTTAGAGCGGATCTCAAGACCCATCTGTCATTGCGGAGCGCTGTTGAACAACGCCGAAATAACGCTTTATAAACTAATTGATTGATATTAACGAAATATGATTTAGTTTAGAATACGCAAGACTGATGGAGGTAGGGACAAGAAATATTACATTTTAGCCCTAATCAGAAAGATAATTTAACAAAAATTTTTTTACAAATTACCTGCGGATAACACATTTAACACCATTAAAAGGGTAACAAAAGAATGGCCATTACAAAATCACATCAGGACAGATGTCGCTAAATGAAATCATTTCTGATTTATAGTTTTTCATAAAATTTATTTACACAGAGTGGAGTATTTTTTTTCACTCAATAATAATAAAAATTGCTAAAAAATTAAGAATTCCGGATGAATATGATATCGTCCACGTATTCCCACTCGTCAGGCAGCAATTGTGAGTTTTTTTCATTATTCGATTTCGAATTTTGAAAACATTTGTTTAGGATTATTCATGAAATTCTATAAGGAAGCCCACAAGTCAGGACTACTTCCCAAAAAACTAAATTTTAGATTTATGATTTAGTTAGATTTGATTCTAGGAAGTTACAATTTCATAACTCGTTCATTCTTTTTTTTTAATGAAATAAGTTTTTTCTATGGCAGCTTATATTCGGCCATATATCAATTATTTTATAAATTTTAATAATGAAATGTTGTCATGTCAGTTAACAACTTTTAACAAGATCAAGTCCAAGTGATATTAGCATTAATTTAATTATTAATGTAAATTTTAATAAAAATTTATTGAGTTAATTTAAATTGAAAAATAAATATATTGGAATAAGTTAAAAGTTTTAACGAAAACACCAGTTTTTGTTTAATTTTAAAATTGAATTAAATAAATTTAAAATTTCAAGTTAAATTGAATATTTAATCTTTATTTATTCACATGTAGCTGGCCTAGGGGATGATGGCACAAGAAAAAGAAAGGTTGTCAGCACCACATGCGAGTTAGTTTCATTTTGTACAATTTTTTTTCATATTTTTTATTTTAGTCAAATCTTCATGCAATAATTATATGTTTGAATTGTTATTTGTTTAGATAACATTAATTAATGTAATATTAAACATTGGTTTAGCTCTGATGATAATGAGGACAGTTTCAGCCCAGACACTGAAGATAATTAGTAAATTTGTTTTACAATTTTCCAATCCTAATATTATTTAATGTTGATTTATCCCATTAACGTTGTCTTGGAATTTGAATAGATGTTTTGTAAGATATGATGAAATAAAGACCCTTGCTTCAAATTAGTGTGTTGAAGCACTTATTAATTGTGCTGAATTGATGAAAAAATGATTGATTATTACATTAATTCTTAACACTCAGTAGCAAGGAAGAAGGCTGCTCATCTTATAGCCAGGACAGAGACAAGAATCGAATTGCCAGGTCTTCTAAGAACCCATTGACGTGATTTTTTCATAGATAGAAGATTCAATCTTTCTTAAATTTTTTCAAATCTTTAAAAATAGAATTAAATTGTTTGTTAATCATTAATATTTGTCAATTTCACTTCATTAAATTTAATATCATTTTCATATTGTCACCATTATTAAGATCAACATTTTTTCATTTATCCTATTTGTCTTTGACAAATCTACCTGCAGTTAAAATAACATTACCTTTTTGTTATCAATATTACAATTGACTGTCCAATAGGGAGAGCCATTGCGAGATAGAGCGTCGACGAAGGAACAAGATGACAACGTACATGAATGAACTCTGTGACATGGTTCCAACTTGTAGCACCCTGGCTCGAAAACCTGACAAGTTGACCATACTGAGGATGGCAATTTCTCACATGAAGACCTTAAGAGGTTTTAAGTTTTGGCTTTTTAAAATTTTTGTAATTTATCGATGTAATATTGAATTCTGTTTGACCAGTTTTTTATGCTTTATTAATGTTTCTTCATTATTTTTTCATGAAGATATAGTTTGGAAATCAACCTGTATGTATTTTTTTTTTTTATAAATTTAAATTGTTGATACAGTTTCAAGATATTGTTATACATCTACGCATTGCTAATGCTGCCTTTGTATTAGATTGGAATGTAGTTGATGAAGAAAGATATTAATGATGCTTATGTTTAATAAAATGCTGTAATAATGATACGATGATGACATATTACAGTGCTGGAATGATGAAATAACAATTTGATCTTGATAACTGCAATAAGGATGATCACAATGATAATGATTATTATTATTGTTGTTGTTGTTATTATTATTATTATAATTGTTATTATTATTATTATTCAGGCCCCAACACATGTCGTAATGATGCAGCGTACAAACCGTCATTCCTCACAGACCAGGAGCTTAAGCATCTTGTTCTCGAGGTCAGTCAGTCAATCAATTAGTCAGTCAATCAATCACTCAACGATAAAATGTTTGCAAAAATTTGAAAAATAGGACAAATGTAATAACATTTGAGTAAGATTTATTTTATAACTATTTGTTATATTCTAATGACGATATAAAAGAAGTAATTTTAATTACAAAAGCAAGTAAAGTTGGTCACAAAATAACTCTGGGTCACAAAAGTTATTTTATTCTAAATTTTGTCCATGTTGATTTCACTTCATTCATACCAAACTATCTACAAACACACACAAACGTATACACAGATACAAATATACACATTCACATACAGGCAACAGACGGATTCCTGTTTGTTTCACAGTGTGATACAGGCTGCATCATTTATGTATCTGATTCAGTAACTCCAGTACTCAACCACGTTCAGGTCACTAGTATTATTTAATTCTCCATTTTTTTGTTTGTTTAACTTGCGCTGTTACCTTAGAAATGGGTCATGTGGCATCACATATTTTTCACCATTTAATAACTTTGAATGTAAAAGTAGCAGAAGTAGAAAGGGACTTTTTCCTCCTTACTACTTTGAAAGGATCACAGGATTTTTGACTGTCATTGCTCTGCCCAATAAGGCACTTTTGTAGATAGTGGATTATGTATGATTAACTTGAAATGTTGCAACTTGTACCTATGTTTTTCTATCTAGTACTTATTAGTTAGTATCTTCTAGTACTTATTAGTTAGTATCTATATATTCTGTGAAGTTTTTTTTGTCTCCTTTTCTTTTTTACCGTTTTTTCCCATCCCACATCATGCAAGCATCATATATCTTTCAAATTTTATGGCTCTGCAATATTGTCAGCTTTGCATTCATTTCCGCATAATATGTACATATGATATTTACATATATGTAAATTAAATTGTGTAAATAATATGTAAATAAGCATAAATAAAAGTGACAACAATATATGAAAATAAAGGCATATTTTAAAATTTGTACACTTACAGTCTGATTGGTATGGCCACAGTTTGTATGACCTGGTTCACCCTGATGATATTGAGAAGTTGAGGGAGCAGCTGGCCAACAATGATATGCAGAACTCAGGGAGGATACTTGATCTTAAGAGTATGTAGTCATGGTGGGAGCGGTGTGAATGTGGAGGGAGAAGATGATGATGATGATGATGATGACTGTTAATTGAAGTTGAATTTTTAAAGTAATATGATTCTGTTCTGGGTTCAATAATTTTATTATGCTAACTGTTTGAAAAACCAAACGTAATTTTAATGACAGATTTTTATGTTAAAGATATTGATGATGTAAATTTATTTAATTTCAACATCAACAGCTGGAACAGTTAAGAAGGAGGGCCACCAATGTTAGTTTTATTTCTACTGTCACCTACATTGCCATCTCATCATTCTATCATCATTGCTATTTTCATTAAGAACATCTGTAAAAAGTATCCATTATGATGTTTTGATTTAATGTTATCACAATCATTTTGTTATATTTACTCAGTTTCTACTGCACCTCCATCATTGAATCATCTCATTTTGAACAGCTTCCATGAGGTTGTGTCTGGGGTCGCGTCGTGGCTTCATAGTACGAATGCGAATCGGGAACACTCTGATAGATGGCTCCACTATGTCGACATCCCATGCCGTTCGACTGAGACAACGTAATTCACTGGGTCCGAGTCATGATGGACACCACTATGCTGTTGTGCACGTCACCGGATATGTTAAGAACTGGCCTCCTGCCGGTTAGTGCCACTTAATCTGGGATAGGGGAAAGTTTTTTTTTGTAATTTTTTCAATTTGTGCTGTTTCATCATAACGTTTATTAACTGTGTTTATTTGGTCTAATTATTAACGATGCTTACCTGTGTGAATCAATGTTACAGGTGCCCAGGTAGATGCAGGTGTGGATGAACACCACAACACCAGTCAGTGTCTTGTGGCTATTGGCAGGCTGCAGGTGAGGACGATGATGATGATGATGATGAGGAGGAGGATGTTGTAATGATCTAATGTGATGAGTGCTTTGGTGGTGGGTAATAATGATATTTTATATTATAATGTAATGATGCCAGGGAACATATAAAATGGAAAGGTTTGATTTTTATTAGATAATGGTGCCATTATATAAATATCAGAATGCTTTGTTTGGTTTTACATTTTAATGATGATGATGATGATTTGTTTTGAACAGGTCACGAGCACACCTGACACATCTGATCTGCAAGGAGGAGGAGCCAATCCACAGTTCATATCGAGACACAACATCGATGGCAAGTTCTCATTCGTTGATCAGAGGTTGGGCCTCTCTCTCTTTCTCTCTCTTGCTCTTCACTTAATTGTAGAATATTTTTCTTGATAATTTTTGCACTCAGTTTTAGGTAGATCTTTTTAACAGAACTTGAATTTAAAATTTTATGATCATATTGTTATGCCCAGGACTGTTCTATTATTAATTATTGAGATAAACAAATAAATTTATGAAATTTATTAATCTACCCTATCATTTCATCGTTCAGAGTGACGACATTGCTGGGCTATCAACCACAGGAGTTGTTAGGCAGATCTGTTTATGACTACTACCACCCAGAAGACCTCGAACACATGAGAGAAACATTTGATCAGGGTTTGTAGACACGTGGCTTGCAATGAATGGTTGAACGTTTTGGTGATTGAGTGATTGGTTCTATAATGATTGGTTGGTTACTGTGGGGAGTTTTTTGGTTCATAACTTAGTTGGTGCTTAGAGCCCATAGAGCATAATATTGAATGACATGCCTTTGCAGACCACCATCAATTGGCCATAAACGTTAGAGGAAGCACTTTTTTTGCAGCCTTCTGTTAAAAACTTCATGTCATTTTAAAAATTTCTTTATTGTAGATGTAAAGTGTTTTTAGTTTATTACATATTACGTTGGTAGTTTATGATATGCAACCAAATCATTCTAAAGCTAATCATTATTCACGATTGGTGCTTAAAGGTGTGTAGAAATAAATAAATCCTAAATAACTTGACAAACTATGCAGTGCTGAAACTGAAAGGTCAGATGGTTTCGGTGATGTATCGATTTCGTTCCAAGACCCAGGATTGGGTTTGGTTGAGGACGTCGTGCCATTGTTTCATCAATCCTTACACAGAAGACATCGAGTATATCGTATGCACAAACAGCAATGCTAAGTAATTGTTTCCTAATTATCTTGTTATTTTTAATATCTGCATGCTGGGTTTGTTTTGATTTTTAGTTCTGATTGACGGTTGTTTGCTTGCAACAAATACACTTTTCGGTTACTCTGAAAAGACCTGCATAGATTTATTTGTTTTATTGGTTTTTTTTATAGTAATTTAAATGAATAATTGTTCATTATTATATTCTTGTGTGCAATTCTATGCTCTCACTTGCTATTTTTTTTATTATCAAGACATTTGAAATGGATCAATACTTGTAACTTTCCGAAACAGAACCCCATCAAGTCACTCGGAAACGACGTCAGCCACACTGGGACAGGCTGGTGCCCTGGAAACAGTGTCAACAGATCAGTTTGCCTCGTATGGTATGGAGTCCGGACAGGGAACAAGTGTCATTCAAACTCCGGGCAACCATCTTTATGGAGATGTCTACAACCACATGCTTACTTCACAGAACTTCTGTTAGTCTTATCATTTTTTATCTTTAAATGAACAACTTAATGAGATGAAGTTAAATAAATTTTAAAAAATTTTCCATTTTTTTTAAAAATTAGCAGCTTCGACTGACACGTACAATGCATACAACCAAAGACCATCAGCCATCAAATATCTACCCTCAAGTTCCTCATCATCATCTCACCATTCCAACATCGCCACTGACAACAACATCACTAATGTCTGGCCGATGAAGACTGCTCCTCCTAGCGGCTACTCAAGACAGGTCACCTAACAGAAATGCTTCAGTACATTATATGCGTTAATTTTGGTGAAGAGAATTTTCATTGTCAGGCTCATGATTTTGAAGTCGCAATGTTCTTTTTTCTTGAAAATAGGATAATGTTTGATAAAATTTTAAATGGTTTAATTTGTTTTGCTAGATTACATTATCTTGGCTGATGTATTTATCATCCAGAATAAGTGAGTAGATGTCAGATAATTTAGTTTAATAAATACCAATTCACAAACAGGAAAACTCGGCATACAACTCCAATATCCCATCAGAGTACGGTCACCTCTTGACCAACAACAACAACAACTCTGATGATTCACAAGGTCTCGTCCCATTTCTCTTTTATAACTTTTGCAATTTTCATGAGAAGGTTGTTTGAAAATATTTAAAATGATCAGTGCAGAGAGCAAACGTTATGATGATAAATTTAATAGCTAAGGTACTTCTCACAAATGCTATTAGCACCGATAATTAGTTATAAGATTAATGAACTTTAATTTCAAATAACGTGAAGTTTTTGTCGCCGCTACTAATAATGATGATGATGACGAGGATGATGATGTTGATGTAATGATGAAACCGTTTGAAAATGCAGGGGCCAGCCACTGTTATACGCAGATGAGCAGCTCATCCTCAACACCCAACAACAACAACAACAACGTTCAAGCATCAATTCGTAACGGCAACATCACAACAAACGGTGGTTATCATGGCAACGCTAGCAACAACAACAGCGCCGCCACTTGGCCAGCGACACACTGGAGCAACAATAACAACAACTTCGCTCAATCTGAACAGCAACAAGCCACAGCAACGACGAACGAACAAGTTCGGTCGTCATCTACGTCATCGTCGAGTGCAACATTACAGCAACAGCAGCTACAACAATTACAGCAGCAGCAGCAGCAACAACAACATTATCCCAAAGAAATGTTATCCGATGTCTATGGTAGTTTAATGGACACAACGAATAACGATTTTGCAGATCTCTCTAATATGTTTGGACACTACAGCTGAATTTAATTACTTTCATTCGTTTGTTACTTTCATCATCTCTTACTTTTAACATAATTATGTTGTATAAATATTTATTATGATGTGTGGGTGTGCATATGATGACGCATTCATGATTGGATTAACGCATTCTTGTTTGCGTGCATGTCCTAACTTAATTAGCAGGACATCTGCAAGTATGTTGATGATCATATCCATTAAACTGTTATTAATGCGCGCGCGCACACACACACACACACACACACACACACACACACACACATATATATATATATATATATATATATATATATATATATATATATACATACATACAAACGTACGTACATATACATACGTATTTGTGTTTGTTTGTGTGCGGGTGTATATCGGCTTGTTGTCATAGTTTTATTTAATCAATTTGCTCCTCTGCTGGAACATTAATTTATGTATATTTCAATTTAAAAAATATAATTTTCACAATATAATTTAAATATTTAATTAACTTGTTTATTTTTTTCTGTTTCACTTTATTGATTTTATTATGAGTTCACCCAGTGAACTATTTAAAAAAGTGTTTCATTCATTCAATCAATCATTCATTCATTCATTCATTCATCCATCCATTCAATCATCCATTCATTAATTACTTAGCATTTAAGAAACAAACTGAACCCAGGGTTTATTTGGATAACATAGACATGTACATAGAAACAGAGAGACATCAGTTATTTTACTTTTATATTGTTTTTTTTTTAAAGATAAATTTAATAATTTGTATTTAATAATTTAAATATTGAATGGTAAATAATGAGTTTATGTTTTATATTCATTATTCAGTGCTAAATTTATTATTTTTGAATGTCAATTTTATTTACAAGTTTCTGTATACATTCACACATCCGTATGATATTGCGCGTGCATATACAAACGTACATACATAGAGGCATACGTGCGAGTATATGTCTGTTTGTTTGTATCGTACATGCAGTGTGCAATTTTTTCAGTTGACAAACTCCTTTCCATGTCTGAGACTTAACGTTGTATGCGTTCGTAGTTATGTTTGAGCTTCAGTTGAAATATATACGTATGTATGTAATAATTACTCATTAACATGTGTACTTTATACCCTGGTATCCTGATATATGTTTGTATCTTTGTATGTGTGCATTGTATGCTATTCTGCTAGTGTGGTTTGATCACGTTACAGTTAAATTGAATGATAACTTTTGAATATTTTGTATCTGGAGATATAATCATGTTAGTGTTGGTTTTTTCATATTCATGTTTTGTTATGTGTAAAAAAACATTGTATGCTTGTTTGTTATGGTTTTGTCTAATTTGTATATCATTATTTTTTTTGGTTGTTGCAGTGCTCAGTTTGGTTGACCTTGGCTTACTAAAGAAAAATTATTTGTTGTAAAGATGTTATGATAATAACAGATGTTTATTAATGAATTCATCATTGAGGTTAACACATTCCACCAACGCGTTAATTTCAGACCTGGATGTGCTGATAGCCTTTCCAAATATTAAAAATAAAAAAAATGAAACAAATTTTTGAATCAATGTTAAGCTATCTCCTGACGCACCTGTTTTTAGATGCATTTTTACGTTTTTAGCTCACGGAAAAACTTCCAATTTTAGTCTGCGCTTGTTGCTCGATTGAATCGTCGTCGTTACATTCAGTCTAAATGTCAATGCATATCCCATGTCCGTGTCATGCATTTATGTGTACATAAGTTCGTTGTTTTCATGTCGTCGATTACTTATTACGTATGACGCTAATTCGTAGATATGATTTTACGTTGGCTGTTGTTGTTACTGTGGTGTTGAGATTCTATTATTTAGAGTTTTTTTTTAAATTATTTATCAATGTAGGTTTTTTATTCATTTAAATTTAAAAAATTTTATTTTTATGGTCGTGGTGTCTTTATATACATATATATATAAATATATATATATATATATATATATATATATATATATATATGTATATGTATATTTAGCATTTTATGCTTTTAATTTGCATGAAAGATGGCTGTTATAAAAAAATAACATTTATGAGAGCCCACATGTTCATACGTGTGTTTTTGCGTGTGTGTATAATATACGCATGTGTCTGTATCTATTTATTAATAAATATAAACGTGTATATACACATTCGCTGTGTCGATTTTTTAGTGAAACGTGTTTGCATTGCAAAATTTATACTCTGACGACCGTGCAGCAAAACTGGGGTTATTTTAGTTTGCGAGAAATCGTTCATGTGTGAGTAATCGTTTTTGCTTTTTATCACATATTCACATCTACTGATGTTTCTACCTTCGTTTCTCTCTCTCTTTCTCCCGTCTATTAGAGCCCCATGCAGATAAGATTTTTTAAAACCGCAACCCCTCGCATTCGTACTACTCATTATCCGCACCGCAACCGCCAAGAGGCAACCAAAATCGGCCGTCTTAATCTCATGTTTAAAATTAGAAGAGCAATTTATTTACATTATAATTATAATCAGACAGCAGATAATCTGCTGAGAAGAATTCAATAAATTTCTAATTTAATAATTGAAATAACATCGGTTATCAAATAATAGATTTAATTCAATCTCATTTTTTTGGTTTGGATAAATTTTCATTTTTGATTTTATATAAATCTATGGCTAGATCTAAATTAGATTATGCTTCTGCTCGATGGTCACCGTGGCAAATTGGTTTGATTGGGAAAATTGAGGGAGTTCAGAAAAGTTACTAAATTGTTGTATGAATGTCATGGTATGAAATATAATGAAAGGCTGAAGTTTTTAAATTTATCCACAAAATTTTATAGTATCAGAGATTTGACTACTTTGTATAATATTTTGAATGATAACTTTAATAGTAATTTATATCCCGATCTATATAACCACGCAACTCAATGTAACCGCGCAACTTTATATAACTGCGCAACTATATATAACCTCGCAGCTCTATATAACTGTATATAACCGTGCAACTCTATAACTCTACATAATCGCGCAAATCTATATAACCGCGCAACTCTTACCAATGTACGTGTAATATACACGTTTGATTGAGTGTATCGTTTGGATGTGTGTAATGTTTGGATGTGCGTTTGTTTTGTTGGTGTGTGTGTGTGTGTGATGGCGATGTGAAACATAAACAAACACACAACAATCAATAAGTGAGAAGTAGCAATAATAGAAATCAATTACTTAGATAAGTTAAGTCGTTAGATAAGGAATAAGGAAATAGAAGGAAGTTGAAGACAAACATGGGACAACAACAGCGGACAAGTGAATGTATTGTTATAATGTATGTGTGTGTATCCCTGCTTTAGAAATCTTCTCTACTGACATCCAGTCTCTTTTCGCAGACCATCCATCGCTTGACACACACCACTGACTTGCTCAATACCATCACCTTCCAAACGACAGAGAATTACCCGGACAGAATTTGTACTTGGCCCATGGAACTTACTCCAGCGAGAGATGAAGATTATAGTTATATGATCTATGTCATTTTCTTCACCTTATAAAGATGGTGATAAATGCATTTTTGTGTTTCTTGAACCACACTAGATCAGCCAATGTACTACTTACTGTAAGTTATGTCTTGTTTCAACCTTCGACATTTTAAATAGAGAAATTTTGTTGCATTCCCATTGAATAAATGTTTTTAACAGGAATGCACTTTTAGAAAATGTTTTGCGTCTGTCGTTACCGACGTTTTAATTAATTCAAATTTAACATTCACAACCAAAAAGTTAAAAAGTTAAAATTTTAAAATCTTCTTTTTTAAAAAATCGTTATGAATTTGCTGGTTAACTTTTTTGTCATAACTTCTCTCTACATAATCGGCATCTTAATTTTCACGAGTGGTTTCTTACTGAGAAGGACAGTAGTTGAGGAGACCAGCAAGTGTTCATCATCATGGTCACCTGGAACATCTTCATTTTTAAAGTCACATTGCGGTAATAGTGGCAAGTTTTCAAAGGCGGTTCTACTCATAATTGATGCTTTGCGATATGATTTTTTAACTTTTAATGATAGCTCAGAAGTAAAATTAAATTTACCATATCAGAACAATTTCAACCATGTGAATTCTCTATTAAAAAGCCAGCCAAATAATGCTAAACTTTTCAAATTTGTGGCCGACCCGCCAACTACAACTTTGCAAAGATTGAAAGGTTTGACAACTGGTAGTTTGCCTACATTTGTTGATGCTGGATCCAACTTTAATAAAGAAGAAATAACTGAAGACAATTTCATAGATCAGTTAGTTCACAATAACAAATCAATAGCTTTTGTTGGGGATGACACATGGATGGGTCTGTTTCCTAATCGGTTCAGTGATGTTCATTCATTTCCATCATTCAATGTGAAAGACTTGGATACAGTTGACAATGGGGTGATAGAAAACTTTGATAGACTAATTCGTTTCACAAACTGGACTCTGTTGGTTGGTCACATGTTGGGCATTGATCACTGTGGTCACACATTCGGTCCTCATCACATCAAAATGAAGGAAAAACTCATTCAGATGGATAATTTCATCAGGTTATATTATATTTTAAATTTTATTTGAAAAATTGATTTAATTTATAATTCCATTCTTTTGTTAGATTATTTTAGATAATTGTTTAAGTTTATATACTTACAGATTTTAATAGTGATCCAAAAAATTATTGTTATTAAATTAAGTTAAATATATCTAATAGAAATATAACTGAAAGTTTGAATAATGATACAATACTGTTTGTGATGGGTGATCATGGGATGACAAAGACAGGAGACCATGGAGGAGATAGTGATGAAGAGGTTGATGCTGGTCTCTTTGTTTACAGCAAACTGCCATTTAGTCGTCACCAAAATAAGGTGACTAATTTTAAAATGTATATCTATATGTATCTTATATCTTATATTTATGTACTTTTATAAATTTTTAAAAATGTGTTATGTAGTCATTTAGTTTGTAATAGAACAACAATGCTTCAGTTTTTTCTTTATTAATAAACTGTGGCACATCATTTAAAGGCATGAAACTTTAAGCTAAGTAGACAAATGGCAGTTATGCTTAAACGCAACTACAGATGTTTGATTTTTTTAAATTTTTAGTTAATTTTTTGATCTGATATAGGTTTTTTAATAGATTGCATTTGTAATAAATATAATTTTTTATTCAGGGACGTGCTATAGAGATATCAACTATTTCTCAAGTCGATCTAGTGCCCACCTTCTCATTATTGCTGGGCCTACCCATTCCCTATCAGAATTTAGGCATTGTCATTCCTGAATTGTTTCCATCTGAGGATGATAATTTGTCTGATGACAGCAAGCATGCATCATCAAGCACCGAATTTCAAGCTCTCGTGGTTCTATATGCCAATGCAGAGCAGATAGCAGATTATGTTGAAAAGTATTTAAACATTTCAGGGTCATCACCAAAATTGCAGGAATTGTTAATTTCTTATGAAAAATTAAAAGCTGACTGTTTCTATTTTATTGAAAGTATCAGGAGCAAACATCATGTAATTGATAACGCTAAAATGAAAAAATTGATCAAGAATTTATTGAAGTTTATGACATCAGTACGAAATGTTTTGAAAGAACAATGGGCTAAATTTGATACAACTTTAATGTTCATTGGGATTTTGTTCATAATATTAACTGTGCTTTTAAATTTGAGTTATGTTCTTTGTGAGTCACAATCTTTATCTAATTGGAAAGCCTCAATATTTATTGTTTTAACCATTGGTTTCTTCCTTGTAAATTCATTTTACAGGTACCTGGTGGGTTTTGTGTTGGTTCTCTATCTTGTTGGCATCCTCCTCTATTCAGCTTATAAAGTTTTCAGTAAATTTTCAAGATTTTTATTTCATTCTCTTTCCATTGAACAGTTGTTCTGCTTAACTTTGTGGACTGTTTACTTGGTTTCTTTTTTTTCAAATAGTTTTGTAGTTTATGAAAATCTGACAACTCAATTTTTACTTCAAAGTATCATTTATTTCCAGTTATTTTACTCCATTTACAAATGTTTATCATCTCAGTGTAGAAACAATCTCCCAAAAGCAACGTCCAGCATGTTTAAGAAATTCCCGGTTATATATTCAGATATGAAAATAATTTGGAAGCGTCCCATGCTCTATTTAGTTCTACAATCATTCCTCATCAATCTTTCTATTTTTTTTTCTCAAACATTTCAAAGCTGCAGAGAGGAACAGACCAACTGCAAAGATTTATATTCGTTCAAATTGCTAGCTGATGATAAAGTTGCATTGTCGATGATAGTTAGAAATAAATTAGTTCTTGCCTTTATTGCCATTGCCCTCTTAACTTATTCAGTTTACAGATGGTTGTGTAAGGATGGCAGTTTGAATGGATGGTCTCCGGCAGCTGTCATTGGTCGGTACATCTTATTTTTCATTTCTATCTTGATATCATTGCACTGGTTGCTGATATCTCTCTCCATATCAAACGTCAATCAAAAAAATTTATTTCATTTTTACACGAAGATTGCAAGCGCTATATGTTTTCTAGTTTTACTTAGTGGAGCTGCCCTCATGTGCTTTCCATTGTGTTTGTTCTGTGTAAAGAGATCTCATCTCAAAGAGGAGCGTGACGCTATGAATCTGAACGTCTTAAATAACTTGATACTGACATCCAACAGTTCCAATAATATCGTTCCATTGTTGTACAACCACTTAAAATCTCAATGGCTGAACCGAGAGAAAGATGAGGAAGAGAAGTACAACATTTATTTATATGGACTTGCCACGGTTTATTCTTCACCTCTTATTATTCTCCTAATTATTTCTTCCTTACTTCTGATGATGATTTTGGGGTTCCAAACAGCACCTAGTGTTTTCTTGTTACTGCTCATTATCTTTCTTATGCTCAACATCCATTCATACAGATGTCAACTTGCAGGAAAGTGTCTTTATGGTATGTTAACTTATGTACGTTGCATATCTGTTGTTGTTTTTTTTTGTCATATTTCTCTCTCTCTCTCTCGTATGTTTTATTGTTTTAAATGTTTTAAATTAAGATTTTCGTTTTAAACAATGCTCATTCCATAGTTTGTTTGAACGTTTTTCATTATAATTTTAACAGGAAATGTTCCAACAGACATGATCATTGCGCTACTGCTTCTAGCATCTCAGCATTTCTATTCAGTAGGTCACCACCCTACCATTTCTTCCATAAAATGGGATTCGGTCTATTACATACTTGAAGGTGACAACAACCCGCACCTTCTGATATCTCTCATACTCTATTTCAATACGTTTGCGCCTCATATCATCGTGGCCCTATCTTTACCACTTTTCATATATTGGCCTCTCACCAATAATGCAACTGGTTCCAGAGCAGGCTCCAAGAAACAGAGCGAAGTAGAGAGTGTTACGGATGCAACAGTGAGGAATTCATCTGGTAGTGATGCTACCAGCAATGATGGTCATGCGGATAATATCAAAGGGGAGTATGTACTTAACGATGATAATGAAAAGACCAGATCCTTATTTCATCAGCTATGTTTCAAGGCAATCCTCTTTCTGTCTCTGAAGGTCGTTCAATTGTATGATGATGAAAATATTCAGAAGTTGTTAACACATTTACCCGTTGCTTCAATGATTTAAGTTTATTGTTATATAACGTTACTTGTTATATTTTTAAATAATTTGTTTTTGTAACACGTTTATTGTTATATTGTTGAAATCCGCATTGTAATAGCATCACATAGATAAATTTTATGATGAATACAACGATCAATTAATTCTCATTTCACCTCTCAAACTGCAGGTGCTTGCCATGATGCTATGCGTTACCATCCATAGACGACACCTCATGGTTTGGAAGATTTTCGCCCCGAGATTCATCTACGAGATTGCCGGCTTCTTGGTTTTTTCTATCACCATCATTTTCGATTACCTGTTTTTGCTCAGGACCAAAAGAGCAGTTGATAGATTTGTTAATAAAATAACTAAGTGATTTGGTAAAAAATGAATAACGTTCTTTCTCTACTTATTTGTTTAATTTTTTAATAATATTTGTAAATTGTCAATCAAGTTTTGTTAGTGCATTGTTGTCGGATGAGTTGTGTTTGTTTGTGTTTTAGAAACTTAAATTATTCATTCATGGTTATTTTCACGTTTTTCAGTTTGCATGTAGAGTTTGTGTCTGTCTTTCTAGCCTTTCTAATTAAATATTTCATCATTTTTCTAAATGGGTTTAAGAGTGTTTGCTAGTTTTTTTTACGGACTAATAAAATTGTTAATAGATATTTTTGGTTTTATAAATTTTTATTCATTGATCACTATCATATTCTGACAAGGTCGACGTTACGTTAAAGATGATCTACTGCCTTTTAACAATGAAAGACTGAAACAAAGTTCAAAATAGTTCAGTTTCAATTTAAACTGCTTAAAAGGTATTATCAAAATGTTTCTAAAAAATGCTGTGACTGCATTTACCACTGAAAATTTTTTCAATAGATTTTCAAGCAGTTTATGGGAACTTCTTATTAAAACAATCCACAAGTGAGTTCTTATCAGCAATTGATAAAATTCGATAAAAGTGAAGGTTGTTCATTATAGCTAGTTCTTACGAACAGGATTGCACGCGCGTACGTATAATGCAATTGTACACACAGACACACAATCAAACATGTATGTGTATATTACCTATAGGTGTATGCAAGTATGTATGTATGGATAAGCACACACACACATGTGTATCACAAATATATATATATATTCTGTATGAAAACACAATATATAATCTTGTGTAAACCATAAACGATTGTATCACATGTACAATTGATACAATATAATAGGATACAATGGAAACCTCCTTTCTCTATTTCTCTTTCACATTCTCTCTTCTCATATAGGTGTTCCAAGTTAATTTTATAGATATATTCTATTTTTACTCTCTCTCTCTCTCTCTCTCTCTCTCTCTCTCTCTATATATATATATATATATATATATATATATGATTCTATATATATATTGTTTTATTTGAATTAACTTTTAGCTGAAGTTCAAGTGTGCTCGTGTGATAAGTTGAGTCGGTGTTGAATTTAAATGCTGGATGCACTGGGTGCTGTTTTCAGTTCAACAAATTGTAACTGTACTTTCTGTACCTTCTGTCGGTTGGTTCCACTGTTCAAATCCACTGACAAGTCGTTCATTCAGTTGAGTTGAGTCGTCAAAATTTCATATAGCAGAATTTTAAAGGGTTTGGTCGTTTGGAGTTGAACATTTAAATTTTAAAAGGAAAATGTTGAGGCTGGATGGCAAAGTTGTGCTTGTCACTGGAGCTGGCAATGGTTAGTTCAGGTTTTTTTTTAGTAAGTTAGTTAGTAACAAAGGTAACAAGCGAAACGTTAACATGTCATATTCACAATTTCAATAGTTTG